TTGCAGCAGGTAATAGACAGACACCAGCTAGGCATTCTTGGGCCATCTGAATTGGCGATGGCTGAAGATAGACTTTTCCAGTTTGAATGGTTGTTACGGCTAACAAGGACCTTAAGGCTACAACATCTAGTGCGATGCCCTCATTTTACAGACTGAAGCCCAGAACTGTGAAATGAGCCCAATGGCTCTCAGCTAGTTAGTAGTGGAGGGACTAAGGCCCAAGTCTCCTGACGTGTGGTTCACTGCTCTTTCCTGGGCAGCCCACGGATAGGAATTTTTTCCTATGCCCAGGGCTGTGTGCATGCATTAAGGAGAGAGAAGTGCTTAATGACCTATTGCAGATGGGCTGATGGGAAACTAGCAAGAGCAATGCTGTGCAACAGATGGGCCTTTACGAATCTTACTGCCCGGACACCTGGGCCCTGTGGCCAGGGGAGAGTGCTACCATGACAGGCAGCAATGTCAGGTGGACAAGCTGCATGTACTTAAGGACTGACTTCTCTAGGAGCCCACTCCCTGGCTGCAGGCCCACTCCCTTCAAGCACTAGCCAAGACTTTTACCAGCTACTACTGTGCTTGTATTCCCCCATCAGCCCCCCAGTTAGCAGCAGAGAGGGCCACATTGGATTCTGCAGCTTTCTGGCCAGCAGTGACCTCTCCAGCACCAGAGAGCTCATTACCAACCAGGGGCCCTACAGCGGCCTCCCCAGATGGAGGGTGAAGATGAAAGCAATAACACGCTGGCTGTTCCGCAGGCCCTGGTCACCGCTGGTTTTATTAAAGCCAAAGTCTCAGACATACCTAGCGAGGATAAAAGGCTGGAAGATGCACAAGATCTGAGGCTGGAACCTCCTCAGATAGGCAATGGTGCAGAGAGGACCTGGCCAGGCTGCCTGTGGGGCTGAGCTGGGCCTGGCTTTCGAGAGAGGAAGGTGGCTACCAGGAGATGCCAACTCTCTGTTTGCTTAGCCCCATCTCTCTATTTACTCAAAAGGAACCTATTTATTTTCCTTTATCAAATAGCCCAACCTTCTGCTGCCTACACGTGCAGGGGAGTTAATATCCCCCTTGAGCCACTGAACCAAAAGCAGCCATCTCTCTGTCAGGTCCAAAGAGGCCCAATCACCCACAGCACAAGGTCCTGGGACTGGGCTTCCGGCCCCCCAGCCCCTGTTTCCTCTCTGCCTCCAAGTCATAGTGGGATCTTGGCCCACTCCCTGGCCTGTTCAGGCCCAGTGATGGAGGATGGAGCTCACTGTTGAAAGCAGGGACCAGGAGGAGGGTGGGGGTTCCAAACCACACTGCAGACTCAGTACTAAGTATGCCCACAGCTACCATAGTTCTATCGAGAAAAGAAGGGGTACTGTTAGGTGGGTGTTCTCCCTGGAGGAAGACATCCTTGAGAGCGCCTCATGGAGCCACAGGTGATTCTGTTTGCCTTAAAGGATTGCCCACATCCCCAGGCAAGTCTCCCAAGGTCACAAACAAATCAACTTAGACTTCCTGAAATAAGACAGCCTCTGAAGGCTCGTCTCTGCATCTGCCAGGTGGCCACGTGGGAAGCCCCATGTAGGGACCCAGTGACAGCAGCCTTTTGTTCCCTCCCTCTCAGAGGGGCTGTAGGAGCTTCTAATTCCTTCCCAGGGCCCTAACTTTATCCTAACACTGATATGGAGAATGCCCCTCTCAAGGGTTCTTCTGGCTAAAATGTAACCCTCTGTTTCTCCAGCATCTGTGTGTCTCCTCTTGTGCTACTGGGTACCTCTGACGCACAGTAGGTGTAGAGCAAAGCCCCTGCCCCAGAGGGAGCCTCCAGTCCCTGGATGCTACAGGAAGGCACAATTACAGCAAAGCGAGGATTCGGTAATATCTGTGAGCAGCTCAGGGGCAAAAAGTGTTGCAAGAATGTAGGGGAGAGATGCTCTCTGTGGTCTGGATCCTGGACGAGAATCCCTGTGGGGAACATGGCCCTGGGCCCTACAAGACGCCTGGGGTTGTCCAAGGAAAGATAGGAGGAAGCCTTTTGGCCAAAGGGACCAAAGATACACGGGCCATGTGGAGCAGGGGGTTGGCATGGAGGAATAAAGAGAAATACACAGGTGAGGAGGTAAGAGAGGGCCCGGTTGTTTAGGGTCCTGAATGCAAACTAGGAAGATGAGCCTTGATTCCGGAAGCCAAACAGAGGGCGCCACTGAGAGCACTGGAGCAGCAGCACTGGTCTACCAAAGTCTGGCACCAGAGCCCTAGAGAGTCGCGCAACCCTGGGCAGGTTGCTTGACTTCATGAAGCAGTCACTTCCTCCTGTGTGCACCTACCTCTCGAGGCTGAGGTGAGACTCGAGATAATTTAGCAAAGGACTTGGCACCTGGTGTGCCCGCAGTAACGTTAGTCCTTATTGCTGTTGTTGAGTCTGAAAGGGTTTCTTTAACTTTGGGTAGGATGGAACCTTGGAGGGTTACAACTAAATAAAGGGAGCT